GAAGCCGGGGACGAAGGCAGGTAGCGGGGAGGAGGAGGGACGGGGATGCGGGTCGGGGATGGAGACGGCAGCGGGGGCTGTTCCCGGTTCCTCTGGGGAGGGGACAAGGGACAGGCAGGATGGAGAGGGAGCTCTGGGCTCCGCAGGGATGGGGATGCTCCCGGATGCAGCCCCCGGCGCCCCGCCGCTGATTGCCGGGGAACGGAGAGCCGGGAGGAAGAGGAGGATGCTGCTGGATGGGATCTGCCAGAACGGCGGGGGCGAAGCAGGGACTCTCCTGCTCGGGATTAGTCCTGGATGGAGGGGCTGTGAAAACCCGGCATTCCCCGAGGTGACCGCAGGAGAAGGGTGAAATCTCGAGCGGGAAGCACTGTGTGTGTGGGAATTCCTCGATTTCAAGGGGTTTCTCCTCCCTGCAGGCGATTTTGGGGAGCCCCGAGGGAGGAACGTGCGTTGTTCCCTCTGCCATGGAGCCGTGGGTGCTGCTGGATCCGCGGCAGAAGTCTCTGTACCTCGATGTGATGCACGAGAGCTACGAGACCCTCATGTCCCTGGGTAAGGACGCCCCAAAAATCTCTTTCCTTGTTGTACATCCCCCTGTCCTTCCTTTGCTTCAAGCAAAGCAGTTTGGGAAGAGGGGCTGAAGGATCTGGGCAAGTTTCCAGGGGGATTTCCCCAAACCCCAGCTCTTTCCTTAATTATTTTTCTTCAGGAAAACGTTATTGATCTCTCCTAATTTAAATTGAAAATTCTGGGACTGGAGTGCCCCTTGGCATCTCCGCATTTCCAGATCAAACTGGGATCAGCTCTGTGTTGGATCTCTCTTCCTCCTCCTTGGGAGTACAAGATTTTTAGGGGGAATATTGTTGTTGCTCTATTGTTTTTAATCCTACCCCTGCTCAATCAGGGCCATGCCCTCCCCATTTTCTCCTCCCTTTTCCCAGCAGCTCAGGGGCTGATGAGTGAAAAAGTGACATTTTTAAGGAGAATCCTGGTGCTACTACCATTATTTCACCTCCCTCACGCTTTCACCTTTTCCTGCTTCTCCCTTTTCCCAGCAGCTCAGGGGCCGATGAGTGAAAAAGCGAAATTTTTAAGGACAATCCTGTTGTTATTCCTTTATTTTAAATCCTGTTTCTCCCTTTTCCCAGCAGCTCAGGGGCTGGTGAGTGAAAAAGCAGTGGAGAAAGGAGCACTGGAGAGCAGTGCTGGGCACTCATCCCTCAGCCTGGAGCGGGAGAAGCCCCTGGGCTCCCACCGGCGCAAAGCGAAGCGCCCAGACAAAGCCGTGCCCCCCAAACCCGCCACGCTCCCCAAACTCGGCTGTGCCAAAGCCCCACGCGGACAAGGACCGGCCCGGGAACGGCCGTTCAGCTGCGCCGACTGCGGGAAGAGCTTCCCGTGGGCCTCGCACCTGGAGCGGCACCAGCGGGTGCACACAGGCGAGCGGCCCTTCGGCTGCCCCGAGTGCGGCGAGACCTACAGCCAGAGCTCGCACCTGCGGCAGCACCGCCGCACCCACGCCGCCGGCGACCGCCCGCACAAGTGCGGCGACTGTGGGAAGCGCTTCGCTGCCGCCGCCGAGCTGGCGGCCCACGGCCGCGGCCACGCCGCCGACAAACCCCACAAGTGCGGCGACTGCGGGAAGGGCTTCGTGTGGGCCTCACACCTGGAGCGGCACCGCCGCGTGCACACCGGTGAGAAGCCCTTTGGGTGTGCCGAGTGCGGCGAGGCGTTCAGCCAGGGCTCGCACCTGGCCAAGCACCGCCGCAGCCACGCCGGCGAGCGGCCGCACCGCTGCCCGGCCTGCGGGAAGACCTTCAGCCAGAGCTCGGACCTGGCGCGGCACCGCCGCACGCACCTGGGCAGGAGGCCGCTGCGCTGCGGCGACTGCGGGAAGCTGTTCCGGGCGGGGCCGGCGCTGGCGCGGCACCAGCGGTGCCACGGCCGGGAGCACTCGCACCGCTGCGGCGACTGCGGGAAGGGCTTCGTGTGGGCGTCGCACCTGGAGCGGCACCGGCGCGTGCACACGGGCGAGCGGCCCTTCCCCTGCGCCAGCTGCGGCGAGCGCTTCACGCAGAAGGCGCATCTGCTGCAGCACCGCAAGACGCACTCGCCGGAGCGGCCCTACAAGTGTGGCGACTGCGGGAAGCGCTTCGGGGAAGCGCCGCTGTTCCTGGTGCACCAGCGCGGCCACGCTGAGCACAAGAGCTACACCTGTGATGATTGCGGGAAGGGATTTGCCTGGGCGTCGCACCTGGAGCGGCACCGGCGCGTGCACACCGGGGAGAAGCCGTTCAAGTGTCCCGAGTGTGGCGAGGCGTTCAGCCAGGGGTCGCATCTCAGCAAGCACCGCCGCAGCCACCTGCCCAAGGCTGCGGGGCCCTCGCCAGGACACGGCTCACTGGGGACACGCCTGGAGCTCGCAGCAGCGAGGAGCCCTAAGGACTAAGAGGCTCCTCGGTGTGATGGATGTGGAGAGACAACTTCTCGGGAGGTTGCAGTTTATTGCAGCTCCGAGACACATGAAAAGTCTCTGTTTCGGCCCACACGTTCAAAGAATGAATCGGAGTTCTTCACTTCTCAGTCTCAGAGTTGTTTATTGTATCTTATCTATAAAATTTTTCTCCTGCCCAGCCGAGGTCCGCTCAGCAGGATAGTCAGAGGCACTCTGACTGCCCTCGGGGCGGTGTTATCTCTTTATACCACAAACTACGCATAACATGTTTACAATTACTTTCCAATGCCTATCTCCTATGTTAGACAGTGAGTTTCTACTCTAAACCCATCTGTAAGTGCCAACATCACAGCAGAAGATGGAGGTAGAGAAGAAGAAGAAAGGCTGGACACACCCAAGTCCCTCCATCTTGTCCCCAAAACCCCTATTCTAAAAACCCCAAAATCTACTTTTTCACCTAGTGATAATTTTATTATTACATTACTTAAACTTCTGTGGCTTTCAGGCCTTCCTGCAAAGCTGGTAATTTGCTCCACGGGTCATAATCAAACCCACAGGTGTTCTGGGCTGTGTGCCAGGGTCTCTGAGCCCCCTGGCAGGGGTCCTGGCTGCTCTGGACACCCAGAGGGATGTATTGAGTTCCAACAACAACTGAGGGAAAACTTGTCTTGGACACCAAGTGACACTTGAAGGGCTCTGGGGTGGGTGACACTGCTCTGTCATGGCACAGGGTGGGATTTATCTGCCCTGGTGTCTCCCCACAGCGATAGGTGAATATTTGCACCTGCTACAGTTGAGACCTCAAAAAAGGGACAACCTGGGGGAGGAGGAGCCGATTCCCAAAGGAAACGGCACTTGGCTCCATCGGGGAAGGGTGGGGGAATCAGGGCTGGTTCTGGTACGAAAATCCAGGGGTGTTGTGCTGCCAGCAGGTGGGAGAAGGGGATGGAGGGGATGAAGATGCTCAGGGTGAGCAGGAGGTGCTGGCAAAGGGCAGGAATAAACTGGGAACCCCACACCTCGTGGACACCTGTGTCTCTTTGTTTACGTAAGAACGAAAGGAAGGAAAGAAAGAATTAAAAAAAAAAAAAAAAAGAAAAGGAAAAAGAGGAAGGAGCTGTGGGAAAAGGCAGAAAAGGGCTGCGCACAATGGCTGAGGCCCTCTGGCGGCAAGAGCTGTGAGTCAGGGCAGAAATTAAAAAACAAAACCACTTTGCTCGGGGGAAAAATTATTATTATTATTATTATTATTATAATTATTATTATGTAGCCACAAGCACCACTATGCAGTGCAGGGCAATCAAATCAAGCTGTGGCAAGAGAATGAGGAGGTTAATATTGGAAATAAAATAAAATAAAATAAAATAAAATAAAATAAAATAAAATAAAATGATAAAGCTGGAGATTGCCCTAGCCAGGACAAGTCTCCAGAGGGGGCAGGTGAACCCTGAACGATGAATAGAAGACATGGTCATAAATATTTTTTTTTTCTCTAATAACACCTTGGAAACCCTTTCTGAGGGCCTGGATACACAATAAAAGCAACTCCTGAGAAATATCACAGCAACATTTTGGGGAATTTGGTGTTATTCCCTCATTTTGCATCCTCAGAACAGCTCATAGAAGAGAATTGTTTGACTGAGTTATTTTCACGTTCTCCATCCTAAACCCAAAAAAATTCATTTTGGGGACAGAAATTATGCAATCAAATGCTTGAAGGGAGCAATCCAAGATTTTACAGCAAATCTGGGCCAAAACATCGTTTTCTCCTCGCCCCTGCTCCGCAGGCCTTGCCCCCCGACTGGGCCCTGAAGACCTGGCTGCCCTCACCCAAGATGGCGGCCGGGCCCTCAGGCCGCGGGCGCCATCTTGAGCCGGGCCGTGCGGGCGGCAATGGGGAGCGCGAGGCCGCCGCCATTTTCCCTGCGCCCTGCCTGAAGCCGAGGCCGCCATTTCGGAAGAGGGCAGTTCCGCTCTGACCCCGAATTAAATTTTTAACCCCAATTTATTCCCGTTCCCCACCGTACAGTGACAAAGTGTTTCCTCCCCGAAGCCAATCTCACCACGGACAGTGAGGAAATGTAGAGAAAAGCAGGAAAATGGTGCTGTTGTTCTCTGCATCTGTCGCATGGAGGAGGGATTGCTCCCAGTAGGGATGTAAAAATCCCTAAATCCCCTAGGAAAGGGCTTTTGGGGTCGTTTTTGTACGTCTAGAGGTTTTGAATAATTTTTCCCTGAATTCAGCTTCCTGGAGCGAATTTCCAACACTTGTCAAATAGCCCCCCCAGCGACCCCCAGACCCTTCAGCCGCCCTCAGGCCACTCCTGCGGGCCCTCACGGCCATTACCCCGCCCTCTCCTACTGCGCAAACGCAGCCACACCCCCAGACAACACCACGCCCCCTGCCCGCGCTCATTATATACCAGGAGAGCCTGGCCACGCCCACCTCGTTACGGACAGCGCAAACCACGCCCGTTTTACCCTCCCGCGCAGGCGCAGCCCCGCCCCTTCCCCGGCGCAGGCCCGGCGCCGCCCCTCGGCCGTCAGTCGGGGCGGCGGAGCCGTGCGGAGCGGGTGCTCCGCGTTTGGGGACTCTCTGTGGGCACCAGCGCCACGACCGGCACCGCCGCCGGCCCCGCGGCCGCCACCGGCCCCGCGGCCGCCATGGAGGCGCCTCCCGCGCCCCCGTCCGCGCCGCCCGCGCCCTGCAGCGCCGCGCGGAGCCTGCAGGACGAACTGACGTGCCCGGTGTGCCTGGAGTACTTCAACGACCCGGTGCTGGTGGCCGAGTGCGGGCACAACTTCTGCCGCGCCTGCGTGACCCAGTGCTGGGAGGACTCGGCGCGACGCCTGTGCTGCCCGCAGTGCCGCGAGCCGGTGCCGCAGCGCCTCTTCCGCCCCAACCGCTCCCTCGGCAACATCGTGCACATCGTCCGCCAGCTGGGGCTGCCACCGGGCCCCGCCGAGCCGCCGCCGGGGCCGCCCGCGCCCGCGCCGCCGCTGCCCGCCGCCGCCGCTCCGGCCGGGCCGCCGGGCCCGCCGCGCTGCCCGCGGCACGGGGAGCCGCTGCGGCTGTACTGCGTGCAGGACCGGCGGGCCGTGTGTGTGGTGTGTCACCTGTCCCGAGAGCACCGAGCCCACACGGTGCTGCCCGCCGAGGAGGCGGCCCACGCCGCGGAGGTCAGTGCCGGGATCCCCCCTCACAACGGGGGGAGGAGTCCCATGCTGAAGGGGCTGCGGGGCTTCGGGACCCTTTCCCCGGAGGGGAAAAGCACTGCGAGCCCCCTCGGGGTGTTGGGGGGCAGTGAGACCCCCTCCTGGGTCTTTTTTGGGGTGCTGGACACCCCTGAGAAATGGGGGATGCAGTAAACACCCCAAGGACATCTCGCGGAGTTGGGGTGCCCCAGGAACTCCCTCCTTCTCTTTAGGACCCCCCCAGTTCCACGGGGAATAGAGAAATGAGCTCCCAGTCCCCCATGCTGTGTGGGGACCCCCAAATGTGTGGATCCAACGGGGGATTCCCCTCCCCAGCTGGGCGCTGCTTCCAGAATTTGGGGGCGCAGAAGGACCCGAATCACTCCAAAACACGGACAGGGCAGAGAGGAGATGGGGAGCACCCCAAGGAGATCTCACGGGGTTGGGGTGCCCCAGGGACTGCTCCCCATCAGGGACTCCCTCCTCCTCCTCCTTTGGGACCCCTCAGTTCCAATGGGAGCACAGAAATGAGCCCCCAATCCCCCCCATTTTTGGGGTGCATTAAAGGCCCCTCCAGGCTGTGTGGATCCCGCGGGGGATCCCCTGCCCAGCTGGGCGCTGCTTTCAGAATTTGGGGGATGCAGAAGGACCCGAATCACCCCAAAACACAGACACCCCCGAGATGGGGGGTGCGAGATCCATCTGGGATGAACTGGGACAGTACTGGGAAAAGGGGGTGTGCCCACCTCAGTGCAAAATCTCGCCAGCCCCCCGAAACCCAGGACCGAGCTGGGAACGGGGAGGAGGAGCGGGGCGTTATTTAATCCCTGACCCGATCCAGGATCAGGCTGGAAGTGGCGCTGGGCCCCCCCAGGAGCCGCCTGTCCGTCCCCCCCCATCCCTTTGGAATGACGCAGAGCGAAAACGGCGCCCCCCCGGCAGCGCTGGGGCTCCGCTATGTCGCGATATGGGGCGTGTCGTGATCGCAGCGGGGGTTAATTTGGAACTGTAAAACCCCAAGGGCTCGGTGTGGGTGGGCAGGCCTCGGAATTCCAGGAACCAGAGGGATCCAAGATGCCGGACGGAGCCGATGTCGCTGCGCAGCGGCAGCAGGAGGAGGAGGAGGGAGCAGGGGAGGGGACTGTGGCATCATTAACCAGCGCATATTAATTATTTGTGCTGATTAAATCCTTTTAGAGGGGGTTTTGTCCCGGAACTGCCGTGGTTCCTCTTCCGGGGACGCTGGGGCTGTCCCCCCGCCCTAAATCTAGGGGTTTGTCCTTTTTTTTTTTTAGGACACAAACGTCCTTGTGTAGATCCAGGTTGTTGCTCCCTTGGGATTTTTCCCCCCTCGTTACCCTACTTTTATGAATGTTTGATAATTGGTTGTTGCTGAGATCCTCCCTGCTCCTTTTTTGCCCTGATACTTGCTTTAATCTCATGGATAAATTCCAAACCCAGCAACTTCTGGCTCTTAACAGTCAAAATCCTTGTATTTAGGGTTTTAGTTATAAAATAAGTAGATTCATTTGCCCCCAGGGCCAGCTGCTGTTTGCAGGGGCTTCTCTGCCCTCCGTGGAGGTCAAATTACTTAAATAAGGATGAGCTTAATGAATTAATAATTAATAATTTAGTGAGCAGTTCATTAAAGGCAGTAGTTCCTCCTCTTGGGGAGGAGTCCAACCCAATTTTGGGGCACCTTGAGGAGGGAGAATGTGGCAGGAGGATGGGGGTGGGACCAGGGCATTTGTTTCCTCACAGACAGATAAAATCAATTGACTTTTTTTTTTTTTTCAGTTTTTGGGCTGGTTGGGGTGAAGTTTGGTGGTTTTGTTAGGTCAGGGTAGCTGCTGGTTCCATCTCCAAAAAAAAGCCCCAGATTGGGTGAATTTGACCATTTTAACAGCAGCAGCGTTTCCATCCTGATGGCCCACGGGGGAAGAATTCCCAAGGGATCCTTTGTGCTTTCAGGAGGTGCCCCAGGAGCACCTGAGCTCCCTGAGGAAAGGGCGTGAGGAGGCCAAGGCTGAGCGGGAGAGGCAGAGTGAGGAGCTGCTGGTGAGTGCTGGGGGTTCCAGAGCCCCCAACCGGGAGGGTTCAGTCTCACCTGGGCATTTCCTGGCTGTGAAAATAAACTTGGGTTCCCGTTCCCCATGCGAATCCCAGTGAGGAGCTGCTGGGACCCCCATCCAGGAGGGTTCAGGGCATTTCCTGGCTCTGGAGATAAATTTGGTCCCACCTGGGGGGTTCCTCATCCCCATGGGAATGAGGGTTCAGTTTCACTGGGGAATTCTCTGGCTCTGGAAATTTGGGTTCCTGTTCCCCATGGGAGTCCCAGTGAGGAGTTGCTGGGAGCCCCATCCAGGTGGGTTCGGTCTCACCTGGGGCATTTCCTGGCTCTGGAAATTTGGGTTCCCCTTGCCCATGGGAGTCCCAGTCAGGAGTTGCTGGGAGCCCCATCCAGGTGGGTTCGGTCTCGCCTGGGGCATTTCCTGCCTGTGGAAATTTGGGTTCCCCTTGCCCCCGGAGATTCTCTCCCCAAGCTCCGTGGCTGCGGGGACCTGCCCTCACAGGGATGTTGGCCCTGGAATTGCAGAAACAGACGGAGGTGGAGAGGCAGAAGATCGTGGCCGAGTGCAAGGAGCTGCGGGCGTTCCTGGAGGAGAAGGAGCAGCTGCTGCTCTCCAGGCTGGAGGAGCTGGAGAGGGACATCGGGCGCCGCAGGGACGAGAGCGTGGCGCGCCTGGCCGAGGACATTGCGCAGCTGGACAAGCTCCTTGCAGAGCAGGGCGGGGACGGTGGCACGGGGAGCACACCTGGCGAGGTGGGACTCCAGAAATTCCCGCTCACGGACAGAAATCCGGTGTAGTGGGCAAAAATACCTATTTATGGGGATGGAAATTCTCTTTGAGGGGACAAAAAAGGGGTGAAAAAAAGGAAAGCAAGAATTTCCATTTATGGGTCAAAATATTTATCTATTTATCAGGGGAATATCCTAATTAGAGGGACAAAACCTGTTTATGGGGGCGAGAATTCCATTTATGGGGAGAAAAAAAGTCCTGTTTATGGGGTGGAAAAAGGTTCCATTTATGTAGGCAAGAATTTCCATTTATGGGTCAAAATTTTTATTTATTGGAGAAATAAATTTATTTGGGTAAAAAATTCTATTAATGGGGTGGGAAATTCCACTTGTAGATACAAAAATACCTTTATGGGGACAAAAGTCCCTTCATGGGATCCTCCCAGTTTCTGGGGAGGATTTTGGGATATCTTGAGATAGGAGAGATGCTGATCCTAACAAATTCCTTGGGTTTTCTTTCCCTTCCAGGGCGTCGTCCCAGCTGGTAGCAGGTGAGTGAGCTGGGTGAACTTGGAGGCTCTCAGCTGGAGCTGGAGCTGGCATTTCCACCCTTCCCAGGGGGAATTCCTTGATTTTCTGGGTCCCTGACTCCCGTGTCTCCTCAGCCTGGAGAGCTGGATGTTCCTCAAGCCTGAGCCCGGCTTTTCCGAGCTGGAGAAGAAGCTGAAGAGTTTTTCCCAGAAGAGCGCGGTGCTCAAGGAAGTGCTGCTGGAATTCAAGGGTGAGCCTGATGAGATCCTTCCTGGAAAAAAAAAGTGCTTTCCCAGCCAGGATCTCACGTGGAAATCCACCAAAATCGGGGCTGGGATGGAGCCGGGCTCCAATTCCCCCCCTGGGCTGGCTGGGAGAGCTCTGCGTTGTTCCCTCATCCTAGGGAAGAGGTGGAAAAGGGATTTCCCTGGGATTTGAGTGTGGGAGTGTGGAGTTGGGATCATTCCCATGGCTTGAGCAGTTCTGGGGATTCAACTCCTTCCTTCTCTTCCCACAGAAAATCTGCGCTTTGAGCTGGAGAACGACACAGGTGAGGCCACGGAGACTGGGATAACAGCTCTGTTGTCCAGGGGTTTGCATGGAATTGGCTGGGATTTGGGGCTGGGACTTCCCTTTTCCAAGAGACAGTGTGGGAATTTACTGGGATTGGGGGTTACGGGGGAGTCTGACCTGCCTTTTCCAGGGGTTGAGGTTGGAATTGCTGGGCTTGGCTTCTGTGTGGGCTCTTCAGGATGCTCCAGGTGGCTTCACCTGGGTCCTTCCCCTCTGGTTTGGGGCACAGAAAATTCTATTCTTAGCTAGCCTACTGACAAAATAATTTCTTCCATTCTTTTACTATCGTTTTAATACAACGTATTATAATTTAAATATATAATTAAATATATAATGATTTATATAATTTAATTATATAATAATGTATAATTAATTTATATTTATATAAAATATAAAATATATATTTTATATATTAAATATAAAAATTATTTATAATTTATTTAAAACTTAATTAAAATTTATGATTTAATTATAATTTAATAATTATAATCTATTTATAATTTCATTATTATTTATTATTTAACACAATAGTATAATAAAAGAATAAGTCATTATTTATTACAATAGTATTATTTAATACAATTATTTAACACAGTAGTATCAGAAAACAATAAATCAATCCCCCTCAAACACAGAGCCAACATTCTTGTCCCTGCCTCCCTAACCCTCACCCTCAGACCCCTGCCAACACCACAGCAGCTATTAATAGCATTAATACGATTAATAGTACTGTATTAATCGCATCACCACCCGCCTCCCATTCCCCCACAGGCGAGCTCTCCCTGGACCCCGACACGGCCAACCCCTACCTGGTGCTGTCGGAGGACAAGCGCAGCGTGCGCCTGCGCGGGGCCCCCCAGGAGCTGCCGGCGCACCCCAAGCGCTTCGACTACGCCTTCTGCGTCCTGGCCTCCGAGGGCTTCTCTGCCGGCCGCCACTACTGGGAGGTGGAGGTGGGCGACGGGGAGAGCTGGGTGCTGGGCGCCGCCCGCGAGTCCGTGCGCCGCAAGGAGAAGGTCGACTTCGCCCCCGAGGAGGGCATCTGGGCGGTGGGGCTCAACTGGAAGGGCAAGAATTGGGATCAGTACCAGGCGTTCACCTCTCCCGAGACGCCGCTGTCGCTGTGCGAGCGGCCGCGCAAGATCGGGGTGTACCTGGACTACGAGGGAGGGTGGGTGGCGTTCTACAACGCCGACAACATGGCCCCCATCTTCACCTTCACCGCCGCCTTCTCCGAGAGGATCTTCCCGTTCTTCTGGCTCTTCTACGTGGGCTCCTCGCTGTCCCTCTGCAACTGAGCCCCCGCCCCGCTCGCTGGTGGTGTTCCCCCCTCTCTCTCTCCCCCTTGCCATCCTTAGGTTTTCCTTTGCTTCTGAGCAAAACACCCCAAATCCCACCCCTGGATTTTTTTTTTTCCTGTTGCAGTTCAAAGTTTTTGAGTCTTTTTACCCTCAGAAATCTTCCTCGGGGGCGTTGGTTGGTGAGGGGGCTCCTTGAGCACCCCTTCCCCATTGCTGGTTAAACACCCCCTGTAGAGTTCATTTTGTGTTCTTTCTTTGGAGTTGGAGCCTTCTCCGAGAGGATCTTCCCGCTCTTCTGGCTCTTCTACGCGGGCTCCTCGCTGTCCCTCTGCAACTGAGCCCCTGCCCCGCTCGCTGGTGGTGTCCCCCCTCTCTCTCCCCCTTGCCATCCTTAGGTTTTCCTTTGCTTCCCAAATCCCACTCTTGGCTGTTCAGGGGGGATTTTTTTTTTTCCTGTTGCAGTTCAAAGTTTTTGAGTCTTTTTACCCTCAAAAATCTTCCTCAGGGGTGTTGGTTGGTGAGAGGGCTACTTGAGCACCCTCTCTCCGTTGCTGTTAAACACCCCCTGTAGAGTTCATTTTGTGTTTTGTTGCTGGTTAAACACCCCTGTAGAGTTCATTTTGTGGTTTTTTTCTTTGGAGTTGGAGCCCCGTGGAACAGGGAGAGGCTGATCCCATCCTGCTTCGAATAGTAGCCAAAGCTTTGTGTCCCCCCCTCGCCCCTAAAATGCCGTGTGGAGATGAGGGGTCTCGTGTCCCCCCCCCAGTTTGGGCACCGTTGCTTTGCAGGTTCATTTTCACCCATCCCATCCTGACTCATCCCATCCTCCCTGGGGAAGGGGCCGAGCCCGTCCTGCTCTCGCTGAGGGACCCTCGCTCCCCTCTATTGTCCCCCCTTCTCCCCACTGCCCCCCATGTCCCTTTTTGCCTCCTCATCTCCCCCACTGTCCCCCCTCATTCCCCTTCTCATCTCCCCCGAAATTCTGGGCTCTATTGTCCGCCCTCCTTGTGTCCCCATTGCCCCCCATTGCCCCCCCATTGCCCCCCATGTCCCTTTTTGCCTCCTCATCTCCAGCACTGTCCCCCCCTCATTCCATCTCCCCTTCTCTCCCCCTGAATTCTGAGCCCCTGGAGTGCCAGGATCCCAGCAAGGGGATTGGGATGTTTTGGGTCACCCCAAAGCTGGGCTGGGGGGGTTTTGGGGGGGCTTGGGGAGGGGGTTCTGTGTTCCAGGTGTGATCTTGCCCGCTCCCCTTGTGCCCTTCCCCCTGCTGCTGTTCGTGTCCTTTGCCCTGTCACTGTTAGTGGGGAAATAAAAGTTGCTGTGCAAAAAAAAAAAAAACCAACCCTAAAACGCGATAATTTGGGGGTTTTTGGTGCTGGGAGAGAGGAGGAAAAGCTAAAAGCTGCTCCTGCTTGGGAGGGGATGGAGACAGAGATGTCCTGGTCCCCAGCCTGCTGGGGTGGAGTACTGAGGGGTTTTGGGGGCACTTGCAATTCACTAAATGGTCCCAACTTGGAGCTTCCAAGTATCTCTAAGTCCAAATTCTGCTTTAAATCAGAGTTTTTACATGTTTAAATCAGAGTTTTTAAATGAAAGTTTAACGGAGAAGTTTGAAGCACTGGGAGCTCCCAGTTTTGGGGCACACCCCACTGGGCATTGCCTTTCATCCCAGTCTGGGGGCACAGACTCACTGGGATCTCCCTCTCATCCCAGTTTGGGTACCCAATTCCTGGGTTTTCGTGTCTCCACCCCCTCTCCAACCCATTTACCTGTGTCCAAACCACCCAAATATCACTTTTCTATCTTTCTTTTCCGTAAAAATCTGACACCAAATCCCACTTTTGCCCAAAATAAGTCTTTATTAAGGATCGACTTATGGCAATAATGCTGGGCTTGAGGGAAGCTGGGATTTGGCAAAAAAAAAAAAGGGATTTGGCTGAAAAACTGGGATTTCATCTAGGATTTGGCTGAAAAACTGGGATTTTGCCTGTCCCATGTATTTTTGGCACCTGGAGGGTCCAGCATCATCCCAAGTTTTGCTCCAGCCCCCAAACTGGGGCGGGGGATGAGCCCTCTAGGACCCCTCCTCACCCCTCCCCTGCCCTTGGGGTGGCTCCCCCCCAACATCCCCCACCCCAAACTCCAGGGGGGCCCTCCCTGTGTCCCCCCCAGGCCCCAGCACAGCCCCCAGCAGCTCCAGGGCCTCCATGGGCCCGGGGGGCTCCGGGGGCTGCTGCTGGGGCCCCTCGGGCTGGCGCAGGCCCCCGGGGTGGCTCTTGCTCTTGTGCGCGGTGACGTTGTCCCGTTTCTCAAACCTCTTGCCACAAATGTCACAGGGGAATTGGTAGAAGGAGTCGGCGTCGTGTTTCCTCATGTGCCAGTTCAGGGAGGCTTTCTGGCGGCAGGTGAAGCCGCAGATCTCACACCTGGGGGAGATTTTAGATTTTGGAAGGAATTAAAAACCCCAGGGAGAACTGGCCCTGCCATGCTCGGGGCTGGAACGCGCCAGGGCTGAAGCTCCAGTGCCCTCCTGGCATGAATGGCTTGGACATGGGTTCTGTTCCAGCTCATTAAGCTGTGCCTAATTAAACACCACCCTGGAGCTGCTGGGTCTGGACACAGCCAGCTCCAAGGGCAGAAAGCTCGGGAGGAATCTCAGCCTGGCTTTTGGCTGGAGGAGCTGATTTTGGCTTGAAAAGGGTGGCAAGAGACTCTGAGGCTGAGCAGAGCTGCAGGTATGGGACTGGGATTTACTGGGTCTGGGACTTAATGGGAAATTGGAAATGCAACTGGGACTTACTGGGAAATTGGAAATGCGACTGGGATTTACTGGGAAATTGGAGATGGGACTGGGATTTACTGGGGGGATGGAACTGGGACTACAACTTACTGGGAAGTTGGAAATGGGACTGGGACTTACTGGAGGGGCTTCTCCCCGGTGTGGATCCGTCGGTGGATGATCAAATTGCTGCTGGTGCGGAAGGAGCGTGCGCAGAACTCGCAGATGTAATCCCGCTTGTCTGGGAGGAAAAGAAAAGGGATCGGGGGCTGATCCAGCCTGGAAAAATCATCAGGATGTGCTCTGGGAGCTGGGAGAATTCCCAGCATGGGAATGGAGAGGATAAGGGAGAGATTCGGGGAGCAAAGGGCAGCAGTGAAAGCTCCCAGGGGTGGGAGTTTGAGAATGGGTGGGGAAGGGGGTACAGGAGGTGGGAATCCGATGGGAGCAGGTGGAATCCAGACAAAATTCTGGATTACACCAGGATTACACCAGGGAGGTGCAATTTCCCCCTGGAAATGCCCCTCTCACCACTGTGCAGCTTCTCGTGCTCCTTCAGGTGTTTCTTGAAGTTGAAGGATTTCCCACAGGTGGGCTCAGAGCAGGTGAAGGTTTTCTGGTGCATGTGCTGGTACTTCTGGTGGTGCTGCCAGGGGGGAAAAAAAACCCAATTCCAGCTCCCAATTCCAGCTCCAGGAGACCCCACCCAGGCTCCCCAGGTGCTGCTCACGTTCAGGTACTGGCGGTTGGAGAAGATTTTGCCACAGCCTTCGAAGTCACACAGGAGGATCTCATGCTTTGCTGCCTTCCTGACAGGGAAAACACAGGAAAAAATCCTTACCAGGAAGGAGGAGGAGGTGTGGAAAAGCTTTGGGATGTGGATCTGCCCCCAGCTCCCTCCTCCTCCTCACCCACCCGTGAAATCATTTAAAATGAAGCAAAAAAAACCCTTCCAGAGATTTCTCCTGCCCGTCCTGCTCTTCCTGGGAGCTTCCCTGGCCCCTTCCCTCCTCTTCCTCAGGTACCTGATCCTCTTGGGGCCGATCTGAGCCACGTCCTTGTCACTCGCCCGTGGCTGCCTGCAAGAGGAAAAAGCCGTTTTCAGCCAGGCCCTGGTGTCCCCTCGCTGTCCCCAGAGCCAAGGTTCCCCAGGAAATCCTACATTAAATCATCCTCAGGACCAGCACTTCTCCCCTTTCCACCCCGTGGACCAGCAGGACACGCTGGAACAAACACATTTCAGGCGTTTAAAATAAGAATAAATTCTTTATTGCTTGTTACAAAACCCTTTTCACATGGTTTGGACGCATCCCAGGACACTGAAATTGGCTCCCAGCCTGGCTGGATCTATAATTCATCCATAGATCCCTGGAAACAGCAGCTATTCCTGGCTGTCACCCTGGAATTAAGGAAAGATCCATTAAAAAGTGGATTAAAGTGGGGTTTGGGGAGGGGAAATAATGGGATGGTGAGAGATGCCAGTGCTCAAGCATGGGTTCAACTTGGGGATTTGTCCCAAATCTCTTGAAAACAGGTTTTTTTATCAGCTCAGGTTGACTTTACCTGGGTAAGGGAGAAGAGGAGAACCCCCTTGACATCTGTGAGGTCCAGCTTTGCTCATAAACCAGGATTTTATCTCCCATTTTCAACTTGCTGTGACAAAAGATGGGGGGAAAATGAACCAAAATATTAAAAATCTGACGTGTGTCACCAAGCTCAGCCCAAAAAGAGCTTGACCTAAAGCTTAGGCTTGGCTTTGTGAGAGGGCAGAGAGCTGCAAGCCCCTCAGAAAAGCCACCATAAATAAAAACTGCAGATAAAACTTTGGACACATTTGGAGACCATGGGATTTGGGATGGAAATCAGGCAGAACCCAAAGAACACCAGGAAAAATTTCACATTTAATTCACTTTTGGCCCCAAAAAGAATGGCCCAGATGGAACACAGACTTTTCTACCCTCTCAGGGCATTTGGGAGCCTGGGATCTGCAATGCCAGGGAGAGGGGGAGAGCAAATTCCAGCCTTACCTTCACTGGGATTGGGTCTCCAGGAAGGGTGGTCCCTCTTCCAGCCACGTCTGGGGTGGTTCTGGAGCTGCTGGGAGAGGGGAGGGCATTCAGTGTCCCCAAAAAAAGCAAGATCCAAAGGGATCAATCAAAGCTGTGAGGGACAGCACTCACCTGGGGAAACGCTTGGGATGGGGCAGACGGAGGAGTTGTGGCTGATTCCAGGAAAAAATGGGGGGATTTTACCCCCTTTTTGAGTCAAAAGTGTGAGAAAATCCATCCAGCTGAGGTGTGTTGGATCTGAGGCCGTGCACAGACCAAGCCCCAACCAGACCTCCCTTGTGCAAAGCCCCAGTGAAGCCCTGAGGGCTGATTTAAGCTTTTTTTTAGCACAAAACATTGAATTTTGTGTGTCTGGAAAGGAGAGCTGGCAACACTGGGCCGCAGAGCTGCTGGAGAAACCTTGGATCATCAGTGGAGGAGGCTGTGGTGGGATTGATGGATTTTAGGGTGTTCCAAAAAATCTCCAGTCTTTTGGAGGCTTCAGTGCCCACCACGGGTCTGGTTCAGGGGCTCTTCATCCCCCTCCATGGCAGCTTTGACTGCCTCTCCTTGTTCCCTGAGCACCCACAAGGGACAGGGTGCAGGCTCACGAAGCCCCTGCAGTGATGTTTGTGAGCCAAACCCCTATTTGCACCCAAAAAAACCAAGAAACATCTCTGCCCTGCTGTCAGCAGAGTCACGGGGAGGGCTGGAACCCCCCCTTGGGGACACAGAGCTCTTGTCCCGTGGCCAACGGCACTGGACACTCCCAAGATTGTCATGGAAATATTTTAGGAAAAATCTTTTTGCTAAGAAATTTTCTCCTGAGAAGCCTCAGAAAGGAAATGTAAACAATAAACTGCTGCTGTGGAATGCAACAAGTGCATCTTTGATTAGTTTCATGTAGCTGTTTTTAATTAATGGCCAATCACAGTCCAGCTGTCTCAGACTCTCTGGTCAGCCACAAGATTTTATTATCACTCCTTTCTATTCCTTACTAACCTTCTAATAAAATCCTTCCTTTCTATTAGTATAGTTTCAACATTCCATTTTCTTTTAATATCATATATATCATAAAATAATAAATCATCCTTCTGAAACATGGAGCCAAGATTCTCCATGTTTCTATTCTTTTAGTATAGTTTTAACATGTAATTTTAATATAATATATATAATAAAATAATAGATCAGCCTTCTGAAACATGGAGTCAAGATTCTCCACGTTTCTATTCTTTTAGTATAGTTTTAACATATCATTTTCTTTTAATATCATATGTATCATAAAATAATAACCACACAAGATGATGCCTCTGGCCCCCTCCCCTCATCCCTTCACCTCGGTGGCTGCCGTGACTCACCTGACCTGTCCACTTTTCTCCTCCAAGGGTCCAGGGCTGGGCAGGGGCTGCTCCAGCAGGGGCTGCTCCTCCTTGATGGGCTTCCTGCGAGCCTTGGGCTGGCCCTGGCGTCGCTGTGGCTCTGAATCGCTGTCAGGGGCAAACAGAAGGGTGGGTGAGGGCGTTTGGGGGCTTGAGGGGGCAAGAGATGGGTTGGATGTGGTAGGGAATGAGTTGGTTGGACATGGTTAGACATGGGTTAGTCATGGACATGACTTGGTTGGACACGGCTGGACATGGGTTGGACACGGCTGGACATGGGTTGGACACGGCTGGACATGGCAAAGACCCTCCCCCAGGGGTGGATGAAGATGCCTCTCCAAAATTCTGTGCCCTTTGACCCCAGAAATCCCTGATTTTAACCCCACACGGACACAATTCCCAGCTCCTCCTGGCTAATCCCACCTGTCCAGGGATGGGTGATAGTTCTCATCACGCAGGTCATCCGTGTAGGCCAGGTCATCACCCTTGGCAAAGTCCTCATCCTCCTCCTCTTCCTCTCGGGGCTCAGCTCCCGGCTCTGCATCATCCCCCGGGATGGAGCTACTGGACAATGACCTGGACAAGCACAGACCAAGATTGGGGACACAGGGATGGGTCAGACAGGGACAAATCACCAGGGGATGGATGATTGTGGGTGCCACCACTCACCTCTCACCAGCTGCTGCCACAGGCCCCGGTTCCAGTGACACCTGAGGGGCTGGAAGGGGACAGGAGGGCGGTGAGGAAGGACTGGGAGAGGTGGAGAGTCGGGAAGGATGGGGGTGTTGGAGAGGCCTGGGGTTGGGGCAGATCCTGCTGGGATGGTGGTGGAACTGGAACCACCCTAGGGAGAACCTAGGGTGGAACTGGAACTAGAACTGGGAGCAGGGCTGAAGGTGGGGGCAATCAAGGGTAGCTGAGGGCAGAAAGGTGACCTGGAGGAGCTCACCTGTGCCACCACCGTCACCATCTCCCATCTCCTGGCCCCGATCCCCATCACCATGGGGTGACTTGGCCGTTCCCTCCTCTCCAGCCTCCTTGGAGCCCAGTGTGGCCCTGCGGAGCGAACGCCGGCGCTCAGCGCCCGGGGAGGGGGCGCACCCCTGGGCCGGGTGACAGGAGGGGCTCTTGGGGACCCCAGAGCCACCCCAGGAGAAGCGGTGGCCGGCCACACACTCCCAGACCAGCGGAGCTGCCGTGCTGCCAGCTGCTGGCAGCTGGATGTCGGGCACAAAGCCGCACTCCTGGCCGTGGCCGTGGGACAGTGCGACCAGGCGCTGCAGGGCGGCTGGCTGGAGCCGCTCCGGCTCTCCTGGGAAAACAAAGAAATCTGTGAAAAACAGCCCCAAAATGGGGTTTTGTGGGGCAGGTGGGACACCTGCAAGGCCCTGTCCTCAGGCTCTCGGGGTTGTCCTTGTTAAGGGGAATTGTGAAACAGCTTCCCAACAAAGAGCTGGGGATCGGAAAAACTGGGAAGGCCAAAAGCAGGGGATGCCAAAAGCAGGGGATGCCAAAAACTGGGGATGCCAAAAATAGGGAACACGGAGGATTTGCCTGGTGCTTGGCGGGGTGAGCAAACCCAAGAGCAGCTCCAGGTGCTCCTCCAGCACCCAACCCAAGAGAAATCCTCCATCTGGATCCAAACCACTGGATGCCAACACAGAACAGGGAAGGGAAGCTCACCTGTGCTCCAGGTGCAGCCGTACGAGCTGTACCTGCACGGGAAGACAGAGATGAGCAGGCAAAAAACCCAGATTTTTTTCCCATCAGAGGCGGGTTTTTGTGGGTTTTTTGCCCCCGCTGCTGACCTGTCGAGGAGGAACTGGGCCAGCTGTGAGTGCAGGGCGAAGCCGAGCTGCTCCTTGAGGCGACACCAGCGCTCCAGGTGCCCCCCGATGCGGATGCGGCACTTTGAGCGCCGCGCGTCCAGCTCCCGGCGCTTCTGCCGCCGCACGGACTCCGGGGCCGGGGGGCGACCCCCGCGACCCCCGGGCTGTGGGCACACGGGGGCGTCAGGGGGGGGACACGGAGCCTCGAGGGGTCGGGTGGGGAGTTTGGGGTGGCTCCATAGGGGAGTCTGGGGGTGACGCCTGGGAAGGGGACACGGGGATGTGCTGGGGGGGTGACAGGGGACACGGTGGGGACAGACAAAGGGGTAGCGTGGCATCATGGGGGGGGATTGGGTAAGGAATTGGGGTCCCCTGGCCCCACAGGGGGATTATGGGGGGACACAGGAGGTGGCCTGGGGACATGGGAGGGGGAGGAGTTTACAAGAAGGGGGGCGGGCACTTCCCCCAAGCCCCACCTCCCGAGGCATCGCCCCTCGTCTTGGCCCCGCCCACACAGCGCCCGTTAGGGCCTCGCCCACACCCCTATTAGTCACGCCCAATTCAAACCACCCCCCTTTAAAACCCGCCCACTCCCGCCGTTTCCCTCGGTCCTCCCCCCCCCCCCCCCTCCCCGTCCCCCCCTGCCCGTTCCCGCCGCCGGGCCTTAAGGCGGAAGGGGCCACAGGAGAGCGGAGACGGGCGGAACGCGGAATGCCCGCGGCTCCATCGCGCTCCCGGCGCCCTCTCCGCCCCCTCCCCGCCATCCGCGAACCTCTTGCGCCGCTCCGGGCTCCATCCCGCGCCGAGAGGGCCCCACCCCAGGCCGTGCCCACTTTAAGAGCCGCCGGGCCCGCCCCGCTCACGGACCGCAGAGAAGATGGCGGAGGCCCCGCCCCGCCGTGCGTGCGCGGGAGCCGCGGAGGCCGCTGGGAGATGTAGTCCGGCCGCTGGGCATGGTGGGAAACTCCCGCATGCGGATGGGGATGGACATGGGGGGGTTACAGGGGTGTGGCGGTGTTCGCAGGGGTGTCCCAGGATGAGGGAAGAGATGACTCCACGTTTCAGAAGGCTGATTTACTATATTATAAATAAATGATATACTAAATATATAGAAATATATTTAATTATATGTACTTATATATATATACTTATATATCTATAATATATATAAGCATAAAATATATACTAAATATATATAATATATATTTATATACTATACTATATAATATATAGTAAATATATAATATATATTTAATCATATATATAAAAATGATGTATTATATATTAATATGATGTATATAAATGTAGAAAACTATTAAAAGAAAATTACGTATTAAAACTGTACTAAAAGAATAGCAGAAAGGATTTCATCAGAAGGCTAGCAAGGAAAGGGATAGAATGATAATAAAAAACTCACTCCTCCCTTCACCCCTCCCCATCCCGGGTCTGCTCCATCCCAAACTTTCCCCACTGCCCACCGGCTACTCCCTGCAGCAGCACGTGGGAGCCCAAACAGGATCTTTGGGAGACACACAGACATTGCAGGCTGAGGGGTAAAGATGGGGGGGGCTTGACAGGTGGAGAGCTGACACTGAGGGTTAGGGGTGCAAAGGACACAGGGTATCAGGTAGGGTTAGGATACAGGTGCAACCCTAATGGTGGGCTGGATGGCGTGGCCCCGCCGCCTCCTGCAACCACGGACGTCCCGGCGTTCCCTTCCACGGCCGTAGCCGCAGCCCCATTCCCGTTCCCGCACCTCTGCCACCTCCCGCACCCCCCGGCCCCCCCGTCTGCCATGATGACTGCCCACGCTGCCCTAGTGACGGAACCCACGCATGCGCAGTTGGTACAACCCCAGCACCAGCGATATCACTCCGCGCCGACTCATCGAACCGCAGCGCTGCTTCCGGGATCAGCCGCACGCATGTGCAGTTCTATCTCCAGGGCCCCGCCGCCACCCCCCACTGCTTTCGCCGCAGCTTTGGCACAGTGCGGTCCCCGTTCCGAACCGCTGCGTGCCGCTGTCCGGCCACAGCCGGCATCCCTGTGCCCTGTCACGCCACTTCTGCCGCCACTGTGTCTATACACGGCACCACAGCAGGCGAAAACTGCAGCGCCTTGCATATATCCTTCCGCGCCTCACAGAAAGATGGTTCGTGTGTCCTTTAATATCATATGTGCAAATATTTCCAATCTGCATTCTGCCTTATCAGAAGGCTAATTAATTACTTTATTATACTATATTACATTACATCTAAACCCTATCTGCCAAGTACTCAACCCTGCACACACCGCACACAACTCATGACTGTCACCCAACAGTCCCGACACGCACAGACGCTTGGCCCTGACAGGCCAAACACCATCACTTTGGGTAAACAGTCTCCACGTTGCATTCTACTTTGGCACAAAGACAGGCACAGCAAATGAGATAAGAATTGTTTTTCCTTCCTCTGAGGTTCAGAGAATGTGAATCCCAGAAATATTCTTGGGGAGAATTGTGCCTTGCTTTTCTCTCTGAAATGCAGTGACAGGTGCACCCTTGCCTCCAGGGCAAAGAATCACGGAATGGTTTGGGTGGGAAGGGACTTGAGGTTTATCTTTGATTTATCCAACACTTCAACAGGCAAGAGGGGGCTCATCTGCTTCAGAGCTGCTTGCTTTTCTCACACCTTTCACAAGCAAAGCCTGAAGCAAACCCTCCCGAGTTGCCCTATCGACCAGGGGACCCCTCAGCACTCGGCAACAGCTGCCGGCAAAACCTCAAACTTTTACTCACACAGGGACGAGGCCGTGCACTCGGTCGTAACCCAGATTCTCTTTTTCCAGCAGTAGCCTTGAACTTCCTTTGTTCTCTCTGCAGGCCTTTTTGCAAGCACACCGATTAACAGACTACACAAGTTTCACCAGCAGACTTCAGCTAAATGCAAAATTGGTTTCTACCCCAAGTAAAATTTCCAGCTACCTTTCTCACCTGCGATGTTTGGAATTTTAGGAGGTGGCAGCCCACTGGAGATCAAAGGTCCCAGGCAGGGTGCAGGCCCACGGACAGAGATGCCATCCCTTTTCCACGGGAAACAAAACTCATCACCCCAGTTTCCTTACATCAGTTTGCCAAAGACGTTCACCGCTCCCAGGTCACTCAGAGTTCTCGTTGGCTGCAGACTCGGTCTTGGAGTTACGGAGTTACGCTTCCTCCTAACAACTCTAATAAAAAGGTAGCAATGATGTTTGTGGTCTAGAGAGTGACAGGTAGGAGTTGGGGGCTGAGCAGTTTTTTAGGGGTTTTTTAGGGTTTTTCTCATGGCTTTAAAAAAGGATATTTTAGGGCTTTTTTGGAGGAGTCTTCCAGGAAATTTCTGGGAACATTTAGGATACTTTTAGGGCTTTTTCAGGGCTTTAAAAAGATTTTGTTAGGGTATTTTAAGGGCTTTCTTAGTACTTTTAAGAATTGTTTGGGGGGGGGTTTGGATGTTCTTGGGGTTTTTTAGGACTATTGAGGGTATGTGGAGGACTTTTTAGGGCTAGGGTATTTTTAGGGTTTTTGAGGGAATTTTTAGGCTTTTTTAGGGTCTTATCAGGGCATTTTAAGGATTGTTGGGGTATTTTTAGAGCTCTTTTGGGACTATTTAGGGTATATTTAGGGATTTCTAAAGGTTCTTTGGGGATTTTTAAGGGTTTTTTAAAAAGTATTGTATTTCCAGTGTATTCTAACAGCATTCTGTGGCTATTTTTAGGTTTTCATGGGGTTTTTAGGACATTTTGAAGATTAGGGGGTTCTCAGGGAATTTTTAGGGTATTTTTAGGGTTTTTCATGGCACAACACATGGAGGCTGAGGGGCAGCTTGAGGGGCACTGTGGGGGCTTGAGGGTGACAGAGGCTGGGAGCTGAGGGAGGAACAGGGAGAGGGGACAGTGGGTGACACACAGGAGGTGAGGGCTGGGGGGCAGAGGGACCGGTTGAGGGGTAAAGGGAGAGGGCTTGAGGGCTGGACAGTCCAGGGGAGATCAGGGGTACAGAGGTACAGCTGTACCACCCCTCACCCCAGCCCTAACCTCAGCCTAAGCAGCCCCCCTAAAAACAGCCTTTTCCCCCAACAGCAGCACAACCCAGCAACCCTAACAGCGAGACCAGACAGCAACCCTCACACAGCAGCACAATGACAGAACCCTCAGAGGACAACAGACCCACTGCAAAAAGGTAGGGACGACATCTGTGGGCTAGACAGCAAGAGGTAGAGTTCGGAGACTGAGCATGTCTTTGTGAGGCTTTTTTTCCAGGACTTTTAAAGGTATTGAGGGGATTTTGGAAGGGACTTTTCTGGGACTTCTTAGGGTATTGTTGGGGCTTTTTCAAAGCCATTTTATGAGTCTTTATAGCATATTTGGAAGATTACGCTCAGGGTCAGAGGAAACACCCTCAGAAAAGGCAGAGTTTTAGGACTGCAGCAGAATGCTTGAAAAAGGGGCCAGCAGTGGCACAGCGGGTTGGGTCCCACGCTGCCAGTCCGAAGGATGTAAGTTTTAGACCCAGCTAAGTTATTGTGGTTAGGGTTCGATGCTCTCAGCTTTGGTCTGGGAGAACTTCTGCACAGAAAAACTCACCCCCCGCATCTCCCGATGCCAGTTTGCAGGAGGTGCTCGGCACTGCCAGGGCAGCCCGAGTTCTCGGCGGGGGCAGCTTTGCTCCCCGAGAAACCCTGCGCTGGCCCTCTTCCCCGTAAAGCCAAACTCACCCCCGCTGCGCGTCGACGTCCGTTCGCAGGAGGCACGTGGCCCTCCAAGGGCGGCGAGAGTTCTCGGCGTCGGCAGCCGCGGTCCGTGAGAAATCGTTCTCTGCGGTTTTGGAGGCCGAATCGCAGTTTCGGCCACGGGCACACAGAGAGGAAAGACGGTTAATTTCCTTAGAAAGGAAAGTCTGGCAGCCCATGGTTTAAGGGGCAGACGAAGGGCTGTGCAGGGGAAGGAACTCCTCACAGGATCTTTCTTCACCTCAAGCCCACTCCAAGGTCTAGCAGCCCCCGTGTGCCCAGCTGCTTTCAGAGGGTTACCCAGGCACACCCGCACAGGGAGCCGCTAGTCCAGAGGGGCTAACGGGGCATCCCAAGGGTCCCTACAGGAACTTCGGTCGGAGCATCCAGCACGGACTAGGGAGCAGCCGGACCCACCTCGGCACGGAGCATCACTTTGAGAAAATGCCAAGGGAAGAGCCCTTTTGCCAAGGGGCAGCATCTGAGCAGGCCAGGCAGCATCTGGGGTTCCAGGAGAGGGCTTTCAACTTTCCCCTTTTACTGTGCCAGTCCCTCCCCAGAGCCCCCAGACCCTCCACAGCACTGCCAGAAAGGAGAGGGGTTATTAGGAGAAAAAGGGTTTAGAAAAAAGGGAAAAAGCTTCCTTTTCCTTTATTTTTTGTGTTCCAACTGGGAGGGACTCTGCTTCCCCTGCAATTTTAGTGGTCTCAGTTGAAAGAATCCCTGCCTTTCCTATGCTGTCAGGGGTGTTAATTGACAGGGAGTCCTCATTTTCTATTATTCCCCAGTCTAAATAGAAGGGGAAAATCTTGACAATGTTTCTTATGGGTTTGAATTAAGGGTAGCCACCCCCTTTTTATTGTCCTGAGGCCTAAATTGAGGAAGAAGCCCAGCTGTACCCTCCATCTTAAGAGTTTGAACTGAGGGAAAAATCCCTCTTTTTTCATCCCTGGAGAGATTTAAAGAGAGAGGAAAACCCTTCTTTTTCCCAGAACTTAAGGAGAGTAAATTAAAGGGCAGAAGCTATTTATTTACTAATGTATTAGTTTCAGTAGAGGTAACTGCCCCATTTCCTCTGTTTAAGGGGTTCACTGGAAGGAAGCTCTGCCTTTTTCAGCATTTTAAGGGTTTAAAACTACATTTCATGGCCCTTCTTTCTGTGCGATAGGACCAAGTATCTCAGAGCAGGGTGAGCCTGGCATGCACTTAACCCTTACACTG